GAATAAGAATAATAAAAGATGCCTTTCAGAAACTCATAGAAGTATTAAGATATCGGAAAATGTCGTCATGAACAAAGAAAAGAGTGCTGAACTTTCACGTCATGTTCTAATCTTTTATACGGCAGTGAACAGTTGGACAAATGAACAAAATAGATAGATAGATAGATAGATAGATAGATAGATAGATAGTGAAGAGAATGAGATAGATAGATAGATAGATAGATAGATAGATAGATAGATAGATAGATAGATAGTGAAGAGAATGAGATAGATAGATAGATAGATAGATAGATAGATAGATAGATAGATAAACAGGATTGCATATATAGATAGATAATGAACAAAATTAGATAGATAGATAGATAAATAGATAGATAGATAGATAGATAGATAGATAGATAGATAGATAGATATAGATAATGAACAGGATTACATAGATAATGAACAGGATTGCATATATAGATAGATAATAACAGAATTAGATAGATAGATAGATAGATAGATAGATAGTGAAGAGAATTAGATACATAGATAGATAGATAGATAGATAGATAATGAACAGGATTACATAGATAATGAACAGGATTGCATATATAGATAGATAATGAACAGAATTAGATAGATAGATAGATAGATAGATAGATAGATAGATAGATAGATAGATAGATAGTGAAGAGAATTAGATAGATAGATAGATAGATAGATAGATAGATAGATAGATAGATAGATAGATAGATAGATAGATAGATAATGAACAGGATTACATAGATAATGAACAGGATTGCATATATAGATAGATAATGAACAGAATTAGATAGATAGATAGATAGATAGATAGATAGATAGATAGATAGATAGATAGATAGATAGATAGATCATTAACAAAATTATATACATCCATCCAATTTTTTTTTATTCGTATTATTTTCTCTGCTTATCCATCGGACCAATCAGCTTCCCTTCCACTTCATGCTTCTGCCTCTGCAGATCTGACGGAACGTTCACCACCTTCGCCCTTTCTTCACTGTTTCCTTCCTCCTCCTCCTCCTCCTCCGATACCCACATTCAATGTAGAGATGACCATGCCAAATTTCTGCACTAAAGCCTGATCATTTACAAGATGGCAGCTGGGCTCTGTCCTGCGGCACACCCTATATCCGCTGGAACCGTTCCAAAGACGAAACTTCCTCTTCACCGCCATTCATTGATCGACTTTATGTTTCTTCGGCCATGAAAAATAGGCCATGACTCTTGCCTTTTTCTTTCTACTTTCGGACCCCTCATGACTTTTTCTTTCACTCACAGGTAAACGGATCTCAATATATGCGTGAAAGGATACCTACATTTATACACAGGCGTTTTTTTAAGAGGGGGGGGGCTTACCATAATGTAATGGTTAACAAGACTGTAATGAGTTCGATCCTCACTGAGCACCATACACTGTACAAAATTAATCTTTTTTCGAATGTGTAGCATGTCTTAGACGGTTGTCAATATTAACAACAAAATTTTCCGTAAATGAGTGTCCCACATGATTGTTTATTTCTAGTCTCCTTGATAAAGAACACAGGCGTGTCCGAAAATTCCAACATTAAAATCTTCCTCTTCGTACTTCGATTTAGTCAAAAGGCCTATTGATATAGAATACTGAACTGTTACGTGACATCTATCCTTCTTTACGGCATTGAATGTTGGACGATTTCCTCAAAGATTAAGAAGAGACTTCAGGCGACGGAGATGTAGTTCTACAGAAGGATGCTAAGGATATCATGGACTGAGCATGTGAGCAACAATGAGGTCTTAGAGAGGATGCAAACAACGAAGAGGCTTAACACGTGACATCAGAAAGCGGCTGCTGAAGTTTCTGGGACACCTAATGAGGAAGGAGGGCCTGGAGAATCTGATACTCACAGGTCGAATAGAGGGAAAAGAGAGACAAGGGAAAACAACGCGTGACGTACCTGGCGGGTTTAAACAAGTGGATGACAGAACGTGGTCTGGGGGAGGAAGCACAGGGAAGAAACTTGTTGAAAGCTGCAAGGGATAGAAAGAGGTGGAGAGCCATGATCGCCTACGTCCTGAATAGACATGGCACATAAAAAGAAAGAAAGAATATAAAATAAATTTTATCAGTCTTATTGACAATATTTTCATCATTTTGTTGTCTTTTATTCCTCGAATTTAATTAACCTGCCTAGTAATTTATATATATGTATGTGGGGGGGGGGGTAAACAACGAGACAGCTGAATTTTCGATATATGTCACATCCCAATTGGAAGTGTGTCGTTTTCATGCGCAAGACACATAATGAGGAAAGAGGCCTTGGAAAATTTAACACGTCGAAGGCAGTAGAAGCAATGGAAACAGCGAGCAATGCTTCTTCTATGTCGTTGGGCAGAATGTCGCCATTATTTGTTGGCTATTACTGAAGATAACGGTGAACTCATAGCCATGTCTCTTCCTGTCGATATATATCAGATACCAATTTGAAGAATGCCGTTTGCACGCACAAGATACTGAGGAAAGAAAACTTGGAGAATTGACAGAGCACCTCGAAGCCAGAAGCAATGGAAACAGCTAATAAACTACTTAATATGTTTTGGTAACCTGATGGAGAAGAAGTACTGCAAGCCTGACTGAGGGGCCAAGTCTGACTGGGGACCCCGGGCAGTGCTTTCTGATCCTCGGTATCTTATCAGCATTTTCTTTTTCATACCTAAATTTATATACAACTAGCAGTAGAGCCCGGCGTTGCCCGGGGATGTAACAGTAAGAGATAGATCAAGTATCAACTATCATAAAGACTGAAAAATAAAATTGACAAAGATTATTGTTTAAGGTTGACGGACACGCATGTCTTAATTAGTTTTTTTTTTTTTACGAATTGGTCAAACCCAACCTCAAACAAAAACATTGTTTTCAATCGTTATGAGTCTATCGATAAAATAGAATTTTATTATAAACAATTGTCTTGTAAATGGAACTTTTAAAGCATTCTAAATGGAAAAATAAAGAAAAATGTGTGCAAGACAATAAGAAACACTACCTGCCAAAAAAAGTGAAGTTTTGTTGAAATTGGTTGAAAAATGTAGGAAATCCGATCCCATATATAAACGAACACACACACACACACACACAAACAACCTGGGTTTTATAATAAGTATAACTCGATATGAGTTGTCCCCCTTACATTTTACAGATGCCTCTTAATCGTGTTTTCAAATTGATTTCGTGCAAAAACAATTGTGTTTTTTCCAATTTTTGGCGCTGTCAGAGCCACCGCAAGGTAATTTTACGTAGTCCTGTGAAGTTTTGTTGAAATCGGTTGAAAAAATTTAGGAAATCCGATCCAATATATAAACGTACACACACACACACACACACACACACACACAACCTTGGTTTTATAATAAGTATGATTTAATCTAAGCACATCTGACTATTAAAGGATGACAAATTTTCGCTGATATTTTTTTTTTTTTTTGTCCACATTCGTGATTTTGTTTTGGTTTCGCTAGGTCTCGAAAAACAATATTTAAAAGCTACTATTTTGTATCCATAACGTTGAATGTGTTAAATTATTCAACATTTTAGGAAGAAAAATCTCAAGTTGATGATAAAAAATGCCGTAAGACATTGTTGATTTATTTAAGATGGAATGATCTATCATAACATGTCTCTAATTTGTATTTAGATACATTGTATTTATTTCCAATTTTTCTAGTTGAATTTTTCACCTATATTGCATTTGATTCATTATTGTCTATAATGAGGCTACGATAAAATTTTATATTTTATATGAATGGTAGAAAATTAGGAAATTTAAGATATAGTAGATTCGGGGTGTCCACGAGAACTTTGCATTGGTCTTGATTCAAATTTTTCAGCCATCGTAAAGATTGCAGAGTCCTTGCAACACAACATTACAAAATCTCACTCTGTAATTGAATAGGGATAGATAGCAAAAACAAAATGGCGGAAAGTTAAGTACTTACGAGTAGCAGCTGCGCGCGCATTTCCATTAAACTTCAAAATCAAAATCGTAACACAAAAATTCAATACCACCTTGTAACTATTCGAATCACTGCGTAATATACTGGTCCATTTTTGAATCCATTTTAATATGATACGTAGTTATTTTATGACCGTGTGTCTTCAAAACAAATGTGATCATGGCTCTCCACAACTTTCTACCATTTCCCCTCCCTACTTCGAGCTCTGCCTTTTATTTGCACAAGCCCGTTAGATAGGTCACTCATTGTTTCTCTCTGTCCCTCTTACCTTCAATAAGTTCTGTGAGTGTCAAAATCGCCAATCCCTCTTTCCTTATTGTACTTCACAGAAATTTCAACTCTTTCTGATTCTAAGTATAAGCCTACGTTTTTGTTTCCATTTTTCTTAAAACTTCCTCATTACTCATATGTTCAATCCATGGTTATTCTCAGCATCGTTCTGTAGAACTATAATTCTGTTTCTTAAAGTCTCCTCTTCATCTGTGAGAGAATTGTCCTGTATTCACTGCTATAAAGGCGATTTCATATTACATAGCATTTCAGCTTTCTTTTCTTTGTTTCTAACGAAATTTTCCTGCTTCTAAACACATTAGTTAGCTTTTGTGATGTATTTTGTTATTCTAGTTTGCCTTCGGATTCCTGGTATATTTTCGGTCGGCTGAAAAAACACTTGTGTCCGTCTTGAATTTATGCTCTGTACGATTTAAGAAAAGCAAAATTATTGTTTATTTTGTTTTAAATAATCAAATACACTCCAGTTATATTAGCATACACTTCAGAGTATGTCATCTACATACCTTGTCCAAAATAACGCTATTTTCAGAGTATGTTAGTTATTACTGGAGATAGTGGCGAACCCATAGTCATGCTCCTTTCTGTCAATATATGTCAGATAGCAATCGGAAGTGTGTACGCAGAATGTTCATCGAATATACTGTTTTATTATTTACTTTTCTTTTTTTCGTTTTTCAGAAACGTTATCATTAATGGGGCCAGTTGAGCAGAAGGTGAAGAATTTCTACAATTCCTGCTTATTGGAAAGTGACGGCTTCCATCAGGACATCCGGAAGAAAACGTTGTCATCTTTGCGCCTGCTAATCAAACAAGTCGGTGGCTGGAGCTTCTCAGACATTGATAATACGACGACGACGACGACGACGGCTGCCAATTGGAGATTTCAAACAGCACTTCAAAACATTCACCATTTAGGCGTTTGGCCACTTTTTGAAATCACTGTCGATGTCGACGAAATGGACCCGACAAAAAATATATTTAAAGTAAGTTCCTTGAAAACTTATTGGACAGGTAGATGAAGACATTTGATTGGATGTTTAAAGTGAAGTCAAAATCTTCATCTATAGACACACAATAACAAGAACGCATAGACACACTACACGTTTGTCTTTCTAGATGCATACCGACACGTGTGAACACACATAGACGTGCACACGCATGCGTGGACATACTCTTTATCTTTTTTTATTCAATTCATTAACGACTTTTTAAAAATTTCTTTCATCGATTCAAGGCGGTCTTAGCATTTTTTTCTTCTGCCATTTAAAACAATTCTCTGGTAAGAAAAAATGGCTAATACGATTTGATGAAAATAATTTTTTATTTACGTATTTTGTTTTTATCTTCCGTCAGCTTAAGAACGAAAGTTTTAGCCAATCAAAATCACCGAACGATCGCTCTATCCAACGTGTGAACTGCCTCAATATGGCCAATGGATAGCCTCCGAAGTAGCTATTCTGAAATGTTAAATTATTTTCCTTAAGCCATTTTGAATACATCCTAAAGAATGATGTTTTTTAAATTAAAAACGTCAATGGCAGTCTGACTGATTTTTTTTTTTTTTAGTGTAAGGTTCCCTCTGTATAAGGCCCGGGGGTCACTCGAGATAGATGGTTATGTTAAGGGGTAGTTTATATTGACAGGAAGAGAAGATAACGGTTAACGTTACCCTTGAACAGGTTAATATTTTAGAGATCGGGGAAACATCCTCTTGGGAATCTGTTCCACAGGGCAGTGGTTCGCAGAAAGAAGCTGTTTAAGTGAAACTTACTTTTCGCCGATAGAATACTTAGGGAATATGGATGCTTTGATACAATGTTAAGTGGCATGGCGGATCCTAGCCATGAAGATTAGACATGGCGGAACCAAGGAATGTAGTTCGTCTGAGCACTTTTGTAGTAGCGATAGAGCAGTGAGAGACTCGCTCCATCTCGCCTGTGAGAGAGAGAGGTTGGAGGTTAGAGCTAATTTATCAGATTTTTACTTCGGCAATATCAAAGGCTCTACTGACCTCCATTCCATTTTTATAAGTCAATTCCAAACCGCTATAACTCGACGCTATAAAAAGCAATATTCAGACTTCGAATTTGCTATGGAGATTTTCTCATATACAAAAAAAAAATACCAATTAAAAGATTTTGAATAAATTGTCGACTCGTTTAACTCTAGGATGGCCAAGGTGTCGTTTTTTGACACCTTCAAATTTTCAACAAATTTCTATGGAATAACTAGTTTTGGTTCGATGCTGAGGCTTATGGACAATTATTGAATTTTAGCAAAGATGCTTACCAGACTTAATTCTTTAAAAAATATTCAGTGGAATAGCTGATAGTTGAGGTTTTACTTTGAATGGCCGAGGTGTCGTTTTTGACACCGAGGCTATTTATAGCGTAAATACATTGAAAAAATTTCTCATTAGTAATAATACTTGTGTTTATGTCCCCATTCTATCTATTTATCTATCTATCTATACACAAACACACATAATATATATATATATATATATATATATATATATATATATATATATATATATATATATATATAATCACTTTTTTCAGTATGAGATATACTAATATTTGTGAATTTCTTTTCAGACTTGTTATTCCTGACTTGAATATTGAATATATTAGAGATGGCTGCTTCACGGCGTAATGTAAATAAAGATGTCAAAAGAGCTGGCTATCCTAGTGTTAACCGTTCTAAGAAGTGCCTAACTTTTTCTACAGTCAAAACTTTATCTTTAATTAGATTAGACCAAAATTGCTGTTATACCTGGGCAGGAACTACTTCTGGTTGGAGGAAGCGCCGAGGTGGTCAATTCAAAACGTGGCTCGCGGCGGTCAAAGCAGATATGGAACTCATGTCCGGTCCTCGCGTTTTCGGGGTCCGACGCTGGAATCGCGAATGACTCGATCATGCCGTCGATTCTGCTACAGATCGACGCGGGTGGATGGCCTTGACGCGCGATGCGGTTAATTCAATTGGAGCCGGGTCAACCCAACCCGGGTGAATGCCGTTACAAGAAACAAGAAAGAGGAACTACTCAGTCTTCACTTTCCCGCCTTGATATATTTCCAAAACTGTTTACGCGGTCATGTAGAATATTATATATTATTCCACTCGACAAAAATATTGCTACGATTTCCATAGCAAATGTTTAGATGAGCCCACTCTTTAATTCCACCAGTTCAAAACTTTACAGCTAGGACTCACCATGCTACATCCACACAGTTGAATCAGCCACATTTCTTCAGCAGTCCTATTGTTAATAGAAAGTTCTACTCAGACAGCCTTTTCTCGAGAACTGCTACTTTGTAGAACACACATCTGTTTTGTTACTTCCTCCAATACTAAACTCCTCAAATTAAGGATCAGTCATTATCCCCCTTATTCTCATAATCTTTGCCTCCTGTTATATTCATATAACATACCCCATTCAGTAACCCTCTACAATAAGCGTCTCTTGAGCCTTGTCTCGGGTGAACCTTACTTTAAAAAAAGTGCAGGCGATCTTGCTTCTCTCAGAAAACGTAACGTAATATCAATTAGGCGCACATTAAAAAAAGGAATATTACTTAATGTAAAGTTGAAACGGAACAAATTTGTTTATTTGCAATAACTTATGCGAAAAAAGAAATTTCTAAAGGCTTTCTTAAAAAAAAACATTCTTTTGGGCAACTAATAAAAATTATGTTAGGCAGAGAATATAAATTTACATTGTTGCTAAAACAAAAAAGGGTCGTTGATAGATGTCGACAGCGATATCCCCGAGGTGTTGCAAAAGTTCTGATTTGCCCGGGGTCGACAGATCAACGTCGTAACGGAACCGTTTCTTGCATAAAGAGGAGCGTCGAATGAATGCCGTTGTGGTAAATATGTTGAAATTAATACAGCCTTGTATAATTATGATAATAGCGAAAGAGTTCCCTTGTATGATAGAAAAAACTTCATGGGCGTATTTCATATGTTTGAACCTAGTCGACTGGCGCAACAGAATCACAAAGAGCTGCACTAAATAAGATAAACCCTATCACTTGAGGACTTTCAACAACAGCTGAAACAGATTGATATAACTCGAAGAGAAAATAATGTCATAATCAAGATGTTGATTATGACATTATTTTCTCTTCGAGTTATATTTATCTATTTCAGCTGTTGCTGTTGTTGTTAGTCAGTCGAGTCAGTACTTTCTGAGTGACTGTTCGATTGTACTCTCTTCCTACGGACGGGAGGAACCCGAAGGAGGCTACGCTGAAGGGTGGAGTCTCCTTCGAGAAGGTAAAACCGGCCCTGAACCCGTTTTTACGGGTTCAATGGGCATATTTTTGGCCGAGCCCACGGGCTCGGACTGCCCACGTTAAAAAGGCCTTGTGCCATATGACACCCTTGTGGGGGGGGGTGACTGAATATCATCAAGATGTTGATTTCTACAGTACTCCAAATAAAAGGTTAGGAAGGAAACCTTCATCAGTACTGAAAAGAGCGATAATAGCTACTGGACTTGAGAAACCTATTTTTCTGAAAAATATTTTAAAAGATTTTATAATTTTCAACCGACCTTTACACTAGCTGCTCGGTCAATGAATGCCGAATGTTTTCTTATAAGGAAACGGATAATATTACAATTATCATGGTTTTGAATTGTGCAAAAGTGAATGCAGTTGACTAGGACGGAATTTAAACATGGCTGTTCAGTCCCCCTTTGGAGTCGATAATAGTTCCGCAACGCTGGTCATGTTGCTACTTCGTTGAAAATGTCTTCAGTTATGTGACTAAATTGTTGTAAATTTGTCTTATTCTATCGAGCTTTTACACATTACGAATGACTTTTTAAATACATAAATGTGTGTTAAATGCATAACGTCGTAAAAAGGTGTTTATACAAAGCACTTCTCTAGATATATAAATATATGGTTTGAAAACAAGACTTTTCGTTTATTTAATTCCTCTTATATTTTTCTTTACTATACTCGCGTGGCATTTGCGCTGAATGCTAATGCGATTGCAAATGTCTAATATTTTTAGAGAATTCTATATCATTATTTAATTCTTTGGATTCTAAATCTGCTGCTTTTTCTCACTCTTTCTCTCTCTCTTTCTCTCTAGATTGGCATTGGATCCAATTTCATGGATCCCCATATTCATCCGATATCGGGCACTCCAGAGAACGACACAACATTAAACGGACCCTTATACTCACAAGTAAGTCGTATGTCCGCGAGTAATGTACCATTCGTTGTACAATCGACAAGAGTTTCTAAAGAAAACCGTTCTGTCTATCGTCATCATTGTCGTTGCCGTTGTAGACAGTCATGCGGTTCCTCTCATATTGGATTGGGATCCGATTGAACTGATTTGACTAATGCAAGACACATTTTTCCGCATAAAAATAATGACCAACTATTTCAAAATTATTATTATTATTATTTATACTATTTGCCTTCGAACTAATATCCTCATCTTTGTTGCTGTTATCACTATATTTCGCCCACACTTTTCCTTGCATACATGATCAGCTATGCCAGATTTCATTGTTTTCTTTCTGAAAAAGACATTGGATGACAGTAGAGGAAAGATCATTGGATGGACCAACTTTGTTTCTGTGTCTGCCTATATTTCTGAGATAGGGTATTGTAAGTATTTACATTATTTACATTGTTCGGACTGTTGTCATATTCACAACGTTTCGGCCGTTGTATGCTCCGGCCATCTTCAGGTGACTGGAATTTCGAATCGAACCCTTTATTTCGTCCACCGGGTAGATTGTTCTAATTCTCTATATACCTGAAGAATGCCGGAGCGTACAACAACAGAAACGTTGTGAATATGCCAACAAAGATGACAACAACAGTCCGAACAATATAAATAGTTTGTTTCTGTGGTTTGAACAGCGTCCATGTAGACCTGATCAACAGCCAAACTTTCTCAGTGTCTAGAAAATATATTAAAGTTCCTTGATGTGGTTATCATATTACTCTTTTGCCTGACTTTATTTCAACCGAAAAATATGTGTGCTTTGTGTAGTTTCTTCATTGAATATGGATGTCCAAGATAGTGTCAGTGACAAACGGATTACGTGGCGAAAATAGCTCAATCAAGTTTTGTCAAAAATTGAAAAATAGTTGCTAATTCATGTGTCTGAAATTGAAGTTTCTGTATTTTTTGCAGAACAAAATATGAAATGATCAATTATTTCAAAATTATTATTATTATTTACATTATTTGCCTTCGTACTAATATCCTCATCTTTGTTGCTGTTATCACTATATTTCGCCTACCCTTTTCCCTGCATACATGATCAGCTATGCCAGATTTCATTGTTTCAATATTCCTCCAGATTTACTCCTTTGTATTTTTTGCAACGGCTGCAAAGAATGGAATTGGACACAGTTCTTTCTCACGTTCTCCTCTTCGTTAGCGTGGTCGCCAACTACAGAGAAGTTAAATAAAAAGAAGAGAACATTAGAGGATCAGACATCTTAAGGACTTGACGCATATGTTACTCGATGTAGGACTCCTCCGTAGGCCTAGCATAGAAATTAATACAATATGGGAGCCATTGGTAAACAAAGAAAGAGACATGACAGTAAGGCTTCAACAGCGGCAACAGCAGCAGGAAGAAAAGAGAAACGGCGGTGAATGCAGTCAAGCGCGACAGCAGGAAAAGGTACTAGGTTTAATGCTAAAGTTATAGGTTCCGACGGGAAGACATAGGCTCAGTGAAGACAGGGAAAACAATAGGTAAGCAGTACCAAATAAGAGCAAATGGTTAATCTCTACACACGGATATTCCTAGATTAAATAAAGGGTTGACTTTGAAATTCCCTGAAGGTTACCTGAATATAAATACACCCGAAGAAGACCCTATCCATGATAAATATATCATCTCAAGTTCTCACACGAAATATCATGATCTCGTGAATGGCTAAGACTAGTTATTATTTTATTCGATCGAGTTAGTTCGGATATTCATGAGTTTATCACGTCAAACATCCCGGCTCTGCATCAAGGTCAGAAGGTCATTAGGGTGTCATAACATATCTGGTCAATGTAGGTGGTTGCTAGGCGACCAACCCATCTTTCTCTATGGCTATGTGTCCAGAACAGCAGATCACCGTCTTTAAATACAAATTAAAATGTGTAATTAATAATAACATTGATAATCTTGTAACCTCATCATTTTGTTGTATGAACTGCTTTTGAAAAGAAAACAAACGGGTTTATAAATGGTCTAGTATTTTTAAGGGCTTCTTGATTGGACCCAGAATTTTACATCATGTCGTCGTACATACGGGGATAAATGCGGTGAAAATGTTTAAGTAAAATGCAGATTTTATTCGGTTTTGTTGGCTCTTATGTGATTTCTATTTTCTTCCTTTTTTTTTTTCAGTTCTTGTCTGAATCTTTCGAAAAGTACATGAAGGAAACGATTCGGATTATGAAGTTGTTAGCGGGAAAATCAGTGAATGCCTCGATGCTCGCCTATCATGTCAGTGTCATGGAGAAAACGTTTGTACAGGTAAGCTGTTTATAGAGACGAATACTGGACAGAGTTATCTCCCCTTTCCTTCTTGTTTATCTTACATGGAGTCAATATAGAGTGGGAAAAGATTGAGGCCTAGTTGTATGAACAGACATAAATAAGTTGATATGAACAAACTGAGATAAATTGATAAAATTAGTTAGATTGATTTGTAGATATATATATATATATATATATATATATATATATATATATATATATATATATATATATGCATATATATATATGCATGTTTCATTAAAAACGACAGACAAGGTACTACGGTTGAGCTTTTTATTTAATTTTTTCTTGTGTTCTGACAAGAGCTTTCTTTTTCTGGACAAAGGTGTGTAAGAACTGTCCGAATGTTTTTTATTTCCGAGCGCTTTCGGCTATACCTTTAGCCATTATCAAGGATGATTCGATTATCACCTTAGTAGAGTGTGTGTGTTCTGTGTATGTTCAGTGTGTGGTAGTGATGTTTTTAGTTTCGCACATTGTGGCTTTGTTCATAGTTAATATTGTTAAGAGTTGGCTTTTTCTTTTTTATTATTAGAGCTTCCATTATTTTTAGTCTTTTTTTGCAAGTGGATGCAGTTAATATATTTGTGTTTTCTACTAGTATGTTCCTCATGGTGTCGGGTAAATGTGAGTGTGTGTTTAAATGTGTTGATGGAACTGTGATCAGATAGGTGTAATGTAAGCAGACAGCAGGACATATGATTTGATTATAGTGGTGAAGGATTTGTGCAGAACTAACCACAACCACACTTTATGAAGGTCCGAATACAGAGACCTGGCGCACTACAATCCTCCGCAGGTTTTGAATTCAGAGTTGTCCTTCTCCTAGACCAGTTGCCATCCAAGGCTATAGAACCCAGTCTGTCCTGCTATTTACCCATAACTGGAGTGAGAAGAAGAGGATTAATACCTTTCCCAAGGGTATTAGCACGTAAGTGAATGTAATGGATTCGACGGGAATGTATATATATATATATATATATATATATATATATATATATATATATATATATATACAAGTATATAATTGGTGTATACGGAATGAATTCCAATGACCAACAATTACTATTCTTAAAAAGAGTTCTCAATACAGAGTAAAGCAGATATAATTATTTATTTAAAAATTATAACATAAATATGTTATAAAATCACTACAAAAATAGCTATTTTGTTTCAACACCTCTGGTGTCTTATCAAGTGACGATATTGAATGCCCTATATATATATATATATATATATATATATATATATATATATATATATATCCTTTTTTTTAATTGATTAATCTACAACATTAGTCTCTGAATATTTTATATTTATTGTATTCTCTACTGTTCTATTTATGTGAGTGTGAACACTTGCGTACGTACGCACGCTTCTGTGTATGTGTGTTCGATTTATTTTCAAACCTTTGTAAGTTTCGCTACGTCTTGTCTGGTCAATGTGACATCTTTCTTGCAGTTCTCCTGTAAGTAAGGGAACGAATATTTTTTTTCTTTTGTTACATAAGCCAACAAAATAACTTCCCTCTTCTCTCTTTGGAATTATTCTGGTAATTTAAGCATCTAACGCAACATAAGACATCATTATTCTTCATTTTCTTTGCTTTTTCTTCCCTCCAGATGAAGTCGACGTCGTCGCAAGAAAGCTACAATGTATCCACCATCCATGACTTAACGATACGCTATCCGATGATCAATTGGATGAAATATTTTACCAGTCTCGCTTCCATACGTCACATAAGCATCAAGAGCACAGACCGGGTGGCTATATTGTACCCGGATTATTTGAGTCATTTATCGGTTTTCTTAAACGATGTCAAGACAAACGCCACAAAGGCCGAGTAAGTATTTAAGCTGAGTGAATTTTTAAAAATTTGACTCGCCGTATTTTTCTGAATATTAGACGCAACGGTGTATAGAACACATTCTTATTGAAGATAATTTGAGAAAAAAAAAGGGAGCTGTATTTGAAAGGCCGCATTTTTATTGAACAAAAATTTAAACTGATAATTTAAGAATTAATATAAATTGTTATAAACACAAATGAGCTCAAAACATCCAAATAAGAAAATATCGCAAATAAAAATTTTAAAAATAAAAATAAGAATTTACAGTTAATTTGATCCAAAACCTAGAAAATCTTCATTGTTTTTACTATCGCTTGGAAAGAAAGCAGACATTCCATCAATAATCAAAGAGAATGTCATCCTCGGTCTTATTCATTACTGTAATGATACCACATTTGTTAAATTACTTAATCCCTATATAACTTCTTATTCACGTAGCTTTCACTTTCACTTTCATTATTGAATCCAATGCCATGATCCAAGAGAAATGAAAGGAGAAAAAATGAAGACCAAATAAGCAAATACACTCTGCATAAAAGATAAATCCGAAAGTGTTTTAACGAATACTACAATAATGCACTATCGTTTCTTTTGGGGGTTTTTGTGTATAAGACGCACTTTTTTTAACGCTCAAAAATCTAATGTCAGTGAGAGATAACCATATATCCGTTCCATCCATTGCGTTACTGATACCACGCTTCTTAAATGACTTAGTTCCTATATAACATCTTATTACTTTTATTACAAATTCTTCAACCATATGCACACCTGAGCATATGTCAGTCATTTTTTTTTCTTTTTTTTTTTTTTTCGTCCTCTTTTAGTTCGCCTAACTAGGCCTCTGCATTTCAAGAACCGATAACCATACGATACATCTTATGGTTATCGCTCATACATGACTAATAAAATCTTATAAACTATTTACAGGTTGAATGCTCTTTTTACCAAATTTGTACAAAGACCTTGTTTCTCAAATCCACAATCCATTTGTAGAGTTTATTTTTGAGTTCTTGCCATTTCGTTTTTGATTGTTTTTCTTTTACCACTTTTATTCATACCTTCGGTTTATAAGATTCAAGATTTTTACATTAAATTTTTGGTCGTTAAAAAAAGTGCGTCTTACACACCAAAAAAAGATACTCTATTATTGTATTGACACTCTTTCGGATTTATCCTTTCTGCAAAGTGTATTCGCTTATTTGGTCTTCATTTTTTCCGCTATCTTTCGAGCCTTCCTTGGACATCTGCTTTATCTTTGAAATGGTAGACTTTGTTTTAATGGAACGTTTCATACTATTTATGTCACATCCGGCGTCTATAAGCATTAAAAAAAAAACGCCTGCTCAAGGATATTTGCGATTTATACTGCAATGATGCTGATCAGACCTTTAGTTATAGTTTCTGGAAGAGCGCGCATAATCATGTATCTGGTAATATCTGGTAAATTTAATTTAAATTTGAGCTGCTTTAAAACTTAACATTTTAAAAGGATTATCATAATAACCCGATTGATTTAAAATATCAAGTGAAATATATCTTTATAAGACGCCGTATTTTCTGTCGGAAATAAGATCGTTCAATATGGGGTAATATTCATAACATTTTATGCGGAGTGTATTTGCTTATTTAGTCTTCATTTTTTTTTTTTTTTTCGCTGTCTTTCGAGTCTTCCTCGGGCGCCTTCTTTATTTTTGAAATGGTGGACTTTGTTCTGATGGGACATGCGCGTTTCATCCCATTTACGTCACATCCGGTGTCTTTGCCTGCGAGCTCTTAGAACCTACCTGACACATGCGATGAACCCATGACTTTTTCGTGAATCAGATGAATCTAACTGACATTTTTTTTATGTTAAAGAAAGCAAGAAGAGACAAGGAAATTAACTCGACAAAAATAAATGAAATAAAATTTTAAAAAAACGAATAGAACGGCTTGTCTAAGTTTTAGACGAAAAAATATAATACAGATAATTCAAAATTGTTGAACAAATTTCAGATCAGTGGAAGAATATCAAAAACTGTTCATGCAATGATTTTCATTATTAGTTGTAATGGACAAATCGTTAGAAATTCACCCATGTAAAGTATTTGTAACATATATTTATAGTTAACAATCTAATGTATTTTTAAGAAAGCCATTTATAACGCTTTTCTTCAGTGAATAATTTCCAACGTATTTCCAGTGTAAGTCACTTGCTATGCAATTCTAAAATGATTAATAGAGCATATCTAAAATAAATTGTTTACAATACTTGTCTTTTGTAAAGCCTTGGCAATTCATTTTTGTAGGAAATCGTTTAAAATGCATTTCTACACAGAAAAATGTGTTCTTATTGTAAATAATGCACATCCATTTGCGTTTTGAATAATTTGCAATGCATTTCTAGAAAGCTGTACACAGAAAGAATTGAGAGAAATTATTTGGATTTCTTTTTCTCGTGCAGTTTTCTAATCTTTTTTTTCCTCTCTCTTTTGCAGAACTTTACGGAATTACTTAATAGTTTCACTGATTCGTTCCATGTTGCCTTTCTTCGAAGAGAGTAATTTGGAAGAGGAGGAAAAAG